ATATATATATATTCAATTTAGAATATTTAAAGGATATAATGCATTATTAATTATTTAATAATGATTAAAGTAAAATGATTCCCTGTTTATCTATTTTGCACATCTGTAGACATAAATCATTACTTACCAGAGCAAGAGATTCGTAAGATCAATAGAAATATGTGAGTGGTTAAATATTGCAGTTGAAGACTGCTATGCATAGCTCTTTTGACCTAATTTCTCCTCCTCTTTTTACCGATAACTATATGAGGGACACCTGAAAAAAAGAAATATATATATATATATTTTTTCAATAGCACACATTTTGTTTTTAAGATGCATAACACAACACCATAGATTTGCTTATAAAGCCAATACGCTTATTTTATTTCCTCAATCTATGTTAGAAACAGATAACTTAAAATTTTCGGACAAAATGAAAAAAAAGCAAAATTAGAAAGATTGAATGCCATCAACTGGTTTTACTTTACCTACCGATGATGTTTTGTTCTGTTTTGTCTTACTTAAAAATTTAGAACGCAAACAGCTATTGCTCAAATGATCATCTAATGGTTTTCGGAGAATCATGACAAAATTAAATAAATAATCAAACGAAACTAAAGCGGTAAGAGATTACTTGATGAAAAAACTTCATTCCCTTCAAAAAGATAAAGACATGAGTAAACAGTCGATATTGTTTCAAGCGGTCAAAAATAGATGCCCATTTGCCAGACGTGAATGAGAAGCAACAAAAGCTTTTCTAGTCACATGTTATTACCAATGAAAAATATCGCTTGTTATGCTCAACGCTATATTTTAGCCATGGTAGCACAAGGGGTAGAGCACTCGTTTCCCTATAAGATGACCCGGGTTCGAATCTCAGCGATGGCTGGTCGATACGAATTTGGCACTCATCTCGCACCGAGCACAGTGCTGAAGTAAAATTATCCTCAGTGGCAGACGAATAGTGTTTTATAAGGCCTTCGCTATCAGGCTAACCGTGGGAGGTCTTTGTGACTTTCCTCTCCGTGTAACGCAGATTCGGATTGATCAAAAAGTCCTTCTCCAAATTTCTCCCAAAAATTTATCCAAGAGTTCATTAGTCTTTTGGATTGGATTCGAAATTTTAAGACTACAGAATTGAACATTTGTCGTCGTAAACTCGAAGTTTTGTTCGCGGTTCAACGACGGTAATAAAATATGTATATTTTTAAAAGGAATGAAGTTTATTCATATAGTAAATCAGGACTATTGTTACAATACTGGCAAGAATGTTGTTGTAATGTTGGCTAAAAGGCGTTTTTCCATTTAATGATAGCTTATCAGTGTAAAATTGATAAACTTGTATGGTGACTGTTGAGTAAGAAATTCGAGGTGTACATACATTCATTAAGCTATTATTCATTTAGGTACTATTACTCATTAAGCTCGTAGAATGGGAGTTGGAAAAATTCTCGTACTATTTTCATGTGAATGCATACAAAAAACATTGAAGGAATATGACTGTGGAATTTCTTTCCTTGTCTTTCATGTCATTGTTTTATTGATCATGTCATTGTTTTATTTTATTGATTGTATTGTTTAATGGTACCTAATAATTAATAGAAATATTGGATTTCATTTTGCTAACTTTTAATTAATTGTCACAGAGTTTCACAAATGACTAGTAATACTGATTCCTGCAACGAGATGATATTCTACACATTTACTACTGTTGACTCTAGTTTTGTTGAACAAGGAAAATAAAATCATTCAAATTGTTGAAAGAACTTTATAAGAATATTTCTTTTTAGTTTTGCGCTTTCTGGGGAAGAAGAACGCTGAAGAAGTTTTAATCATTTGCGGAGATGGGGGATGATTTAAAAGTTTCCTATTTTACAATTACGCAAAAATAGAAATTCACTTTTCTAAAAAATTTACGGATTATTACAAAACTTCCTCTCTCAGGATTTGATTTTCACTTAATTTATCCACATTCGTTAAGGAAACTACGATTCAAATTTCTTTTTACTGAAAGTTTCTCAGGATTTTATCAAACAACGATTGTCATATTATGTACTTATTTTATACAGTGGCTCCCAAATGTGTTCGGACACTTACGACCTTCAGTGAAATAGGGCTATATTCATTAAATAAAACAAATGTTTCAGAATTATATTTTAATGATAATATCTATAATCTATTCTTAACAAAACTGCATGCTTAGGAAAATAGCCCAAGTACATGAAAACTCGCAAAAATATTTTTATTTATTTCACCACTAGAAAAAATTTGATGCTTAAATATATTCAAGAAGTTATAAAATATTTATGTATTATCTTAAAGGGTACTTTATAGCATTTAAAAATAAGCTCAAAACTTTAATAATTTGTTCTGAAAAGACGTTCCCCACGCATAAATTCAGTTTGCGAATCAACGACACGCTGAGAACTCACGTATCACTCAATTTTTAAATCTACAAATCATTGGTAATACACGAATTAAGAGGATAAGAACTAACTTGTAGGATATGATCTAACCAGATCTTGTAGAATATGACTTGTAGGATACTACATCTTGTAGGTACATGTACGTAACTTGATCTTGTAGGATATGAACTAATTCATGGTCCATCCTTATTGAATTAGAAAACACAACGGCATTTTGAACATATTTAAATATGCCTAAATGTATGTAAAAATTCAAGGAGACATAACATGTCAAATATTTTTATATTAACGCAAAAAATCACATGTCTTTACATAGTTATTTCAAATTTCGTACTATTAATTAAATTTATTTCTTTTGTCAAGTATAGAGTAAAAATCAAATATTAACTAATATTCATAAAAGAATTTTTAAAAAAATAAAAATGCATCTAGATGTCAAAAAGGAATATATATCATGAAATTACGTATTTAGTTTAATTTTGTTCTTAAGTAATACTAAAACACTTATGAATGAAAGCTTCTTAAGAAATCAGTATGCTAATGTTGTATTTGAACATTTCCATTTTACATAAATTGCAAAAATAGAGCCTGGGGATTATTCAAACTCTGTTCAGAAACCTACAATAATTCCAGCTAAAAATAAAAATAAATTGAGTTTAAAAAATAATAATAAATATGTCGATTTGTTTAACTCCAATACATAAAATTCCTTGTATTTTGCAGATTTTCACACTAAAATAAAATTCTATTTCAATAGTAACGAATTTTTTTAACAACTTATGTTCTAAAGCTTAACACTTTTTTTTATCAGCTATCTTCAACATAAAATCTATTTGAATTGATAAAAGCATGATAAATAAAACACGCATTCCACATGGAAAATAAACATGTCAATTAGAACATTTCGCATTCGAATAGACGAATAAATAGAGCATAGTGCCATACATGTTTTAAACAGCATTTCTTTTAGTAATTTAATTCTCTAAAAGGGAATTCTTTTATTTTCCTTTGAAGAAGCGACGCCATTCAAGTAAAAATTTTAAGATTATCAATAGAGAGAAGAAGCGTAGGAAGAATTATTGACGTGCAGCTAACTATTTTCACAAATCCTCATGGAGTTGAAAAGCGTATAAAAATAATCAAGAAATCGAGCTCAAAGTTTAAAAGAAAACGTAGCTAAGAACAGATTTTTCTCATTTCTGCAGACTTAAATGCAAATTTAGCTCTTGAACGCAGTTTCGATAGTGTTTTTATATGAAGAGAATAATTAGATGTATACATTGTATGTACTAGGAGATCTGTAATATTTTAAAGGGTAAAATGTTATACTTTATTCAGTATATTTTAGACGTAAACTATATTATGTTCTAGCGTGATATATTTTTTTAATTTGTAATTTATGAAAGAATCTATAAGTAATTTTACTTCGACATCTCAAAACTTATTTTACAACAATATTTTTAAAACACGAATTCTACAATTTATATGAAAAATAAACACGATAATAATGCATGATATGTAGAACGATAAGAATTTAGATGAGACGGTTCCTTGTTTAATAATTTTGAAGACTATTTTTTCTACTATTGCTTATGTTGAAATATCTTTTCGATATAGACAGATTTATTAAAAGATATTAATTTAGTTTAACACCCTCGAAGACTAATTTGATTTTCAAAATCATTTCTCGGTGTAATAGTGATAGGGACTTTTAAAGTTTTATCTACTACATACTAACCATAAACTTCTGCTTATGAGTTTAGCAAAAGGGTGTTTTATAAATTCCGTGTTTATAATTACAAACTAACATGATGGAACCTGATCAAATGCATGAACGCATAACGCAGAAGATAAAAGCACTCTTCGGTTTAGGCTTCTATTCTTGATCTTACGCAAACCTTTACTGTACCACACTTTTATTTGTATGAAAACAAAACACTTATTTTGGTATTCTTTAAAGCTATCAACAGATGACAGTAGAAATCAATGTGGGAAATAAGATTCTCATTGGCATTTAAAAATTTGTTTTGTAAGTGGTAAGTATACTTTCCACTGTCATATAAAAGGTTAACAAATAAAGCAAAATTAATATATTCTAAAGGACTATGTTATGAGAGTGATAAAGTAAAGATATTGTTGTTCAAAATTGAACCCCAATACCGTTTCATTTTACCTTAATTCGGTACAGATTGGCAATACCTTTGTCAATCTGAACAATTTTTTTCAGTTTAATTTGAACACCATCCATGAATAAGCTTCAAGAATTGCAATGGCAGGATTAAACTTAGCGCTTATGAAAGTTGTAACATGCTTGAACAATATTATGGTTCACACTCACCAAAATTTCTATGGCAATTACATTTTATTAATACCAAAAAGTAATCATATAATTTTATAAAAGCTCCGGCTAGGAACTTTTTTTTATTAGATCATGATCTAAAGAATAACGGTGGTGTACCTTCGTTGAACAACTGACTCATGACTGATTTAAGGCTATATCAATTTGGATCTCCATAGTCTTGAGATTTTTAATCTTATTTAGAAGACATTATAATTTCAGCATTAAACTTTCGAACAATCTTACCTTCGTGGAAGACTTTTTAGGAGAAACTCACTCACTTTTACCTCATAAGTAGAATCACCCGAAAGCAAGGAGATTCAAACTCATTAACCTTTTACCGAAGACGATAGCTTTCGTCTGATATATGAGTCGAGAGCAGGCTTTACATTAAGCTCCCATCGCTATGATTCGAACTTGAGTTGACACAGATGGATATGAAAAGTCTATTCTTATTAAGGCCTCCCAACTCCCAGCTAACAGTTTACCATATTTTAAACAATTGCTGTG